GTTTAGTACTGAGGAGTTCTTGCTATTGATGTAACTTGCACTGGGAAAGTGGGTCCTGTGAGATGCTTTTGTGTCTTATGTCTCCACATGTGTGTAGTTACCATGACTTGGGAGATGAATGTTTCTGTTCTCAATTTAGTGTCCTTAGTGTGGCTTACCAGCAACAGCTGCCTCCATGGTGTTTCCTTAATAGTGATTTGCTATTTCTTCCTTTGTGTTATTAACTGAACCTCTGCTGAGAGAGGCAATGGTCACTCCTCCATGTATATTTAACTGGTTGCATACATCACTGTGGACTTGTGTTTTGTTTGTTCTTTATATTGTTCTATGGGTCCTGATCCTGTACCATCACTGTTCATTACTGTTACTCTGCTGCCTAAATTGCTGCTGTTTTTTTTCTAGCCAGCTGTGTTCCCCATCAGTCCACACTTGTGCTTCTTTTCTTGCTTTATGGTTTCACAAGGCCGTGTGTGTGTGTGTGTGTGTGTGTGTGTGTGTGTGTGTGTGTGTTTTGCTCATCTTTTATTTTCTCTTCCTCTGACCCTGGAAGCTTCAGTTCCATTTATTGGAAAAGGATTTAGAGCTGAGGATGTAGAATTTGGGTATGCATACCACTGCTCAGCTCTGAGTATTTTAGACCCTTCCAGTGGACAGAGCTTCAGCAGAGTTGTGGGCATGAAAACACGTGTTTTTTTCATGTCTCTCAGTATTTGACTTCTAAGTCATAAGTGGATATCAGTACTCTGCTTTTTAGTTCAGCAGCAGGGTTCATCTTAGTCTCCTCTCTTCTGTTGTGTGGATGTATGAGTCCCCCACCCTCATGTGTATATTTGTGTGTGCCAATGGAAAATCTCAGCTGTCACTCTTCAGATGCCATCTACCCTGTTTTTCGAGACAGAATCTGTCATTGGCTTAGAATTCATTGTCAGCCTTCATTATCTTCCTGTATCTGCTAGCCAACCTCTCCTACTGGGGCTGCGAGCAAGCATTAATACACCTGACTGCTTAGGCACTAGGGATGCAATTCCTGTACTCAGTTTGCATAGCCAGTGCTTTACTCTCTGAGATATCAGCCCCTTCTTCACTTTTAGGGTTTTTTTTTTTTTTTTTTTTTGGGCTTGGCCAGTCATGTGATCATATTGCTAACCCACCCATTGCTAACCCTGTAGAAACACCTGTGCTGGATTACAGGTTCTGTGCACAGTCAGGATGGTCTTCTGAATGTTGTTAATATCCATCCTCATACTCACTTTGAGTGGTTATGTAGTTCAAGTGTCATGTTAGGCTTCCTTGTGAGTGTTTGTTTTTCTGTCTAGTTTCTTCCACATCTTGGTTTAAATGTGCTTGTAGCTAAGGCTGATGACTGTAGTTCAGTCACTGAAACCCACTTTGTGGAAGAGAATTAACCCTTTCAAGTTCTCCTCTGACCTCCACATGCATTCTGAGGCATGCACATACCCTCTCCTACACACTATATATGGAAATAAAATACTAAGGAAAAAAATCAAACTGGAGAGAAGACTCAAGGGTGAAGATGCTTACCACCAAGCATGATGCCCAGAGTTCAACCCCTGGAACTCACATGGAGGACTTCTCCAAATGCGCTAAATATTAAAATTAACCACCCCTCTTCTCAGGGTCTTGGGATGTTACTGTTGCCGCATGCAGTATTCCTATTTGAAATTCTTGGACCAGACGTGTTCTTGATGTCTAATTCTGAAATATTTTCATATGCATACTTAGATAACTGGGGATGGGATCTGAGCCTAAATGTGAACTCCTCTTCTGTTTCATGTGTACTTTAAAGAGTGCGCATGGTGTCCGGGCCCGCAGATACTGAAGGTAATTTGACACAGATTTTAAACAGTCCTGTGCTGGAAACAAAGCTTTACGGTGTGGAGTTTCCACCTATGGCCCTGTGACTCAGCGTCTACTTCAGTCAGTCTGTTCGGGATTTCCCCCTCATTGCCCAGAGCCACAGTTTTAATCTCCAAGACTCTGTAGCATGGGTCAGGGTCCAGGGTCACCCACCTCACTTCTCAGTGGTTTTGTTTGTTGTGTCAATATATGTGTCTGTAAGGGTATGTGTGTGAATATGTAGTTTCTTCATGAGGTTTTCCTCACGTGTGTTCAGAGTCTTTTTTGTTTGGTGTAAAAAGGAGCAGCGGGCTGTGTTCTGCCGCCCGGATCCCGGCTAGCTTACCCCCGAAATAATTACATGGAAACTGTATTCTTTTAAACACTGCCTGGCCCATTAGTTCTCCAGCCTCTTATAGCTAACTCTTACATATTAATTAACCCATTTCTAATAATCTGTGTAGCACCACGAGGTCATGGCTTACCGGGAAGATTCTAACCCATGTCCATCTTGGAGAGGAGAGCCATGGCGTCTGCCTGCCTCTGCTTTCTTTCTCTCACAATTCTGTTCTGTCTTCCCCACCTACCTATGTTCTGACCTATCAGGTCAAGCAGTTTTCTTTATTAATTAACCAATGAAAGCAACAGATAGATAGAAGACCCTCCTACATCAGTTCGGGGCAGATGACTGTGGACTGGTGTTGCTAGTCTTGGGCAGAATGTCAGCAGTGCAGGAATTGGTGAAAGCTGTGGGCTCACTCGACTCCAGAGTCCACAGGAGGCAGGGGGATTATAGGTATCCTTGTTTTAACTTACAATGTATGTGTCCTTTATAAGGGCATACCTTGACATTAAAGATATTTTCAAGGTTTTGCCCAGAAGGCACCACAAGAAGGAGTATCCACCCTACCTGCCCTGCTGTGGCTCTGGGGCAGCGTCTGTGTCCAGGTGGAAGGAAGGCATCCCTGTGCTTCTCGGCTTCTCTGGGATGCTCTGTTCTGCTGGCTTACCTCAGCATCTCAGCACCCTGCTAATGACACTTGCTTGGCATTGGCCTCTGTGCCACAAGGTCAGCTCATAGTACAGTGGTTTCAGCAAGTTCATAGGGTCCTCAGCCACCTGCTCCCACCAAAGACAGTTCAAACCCCAGACTCAGCCAGCACAGCCCGGATGGAGATGGTGACTTCATCCCTCCTGCAGTGTAGATTTTATCACTTCTCATGATGTTTAAGGAGTGAGGTAGGTGCTGTTAGCACAGGGTAGGGTTCTAAGTCCTAAATAAAAATGAACTATATATGTTATGCTTGACTTTGATCTCTGGGAATTCTTTTTTTTTCCCTTTTATTTTATGTGCATTGGTGTGAAGGTGTCAGATCCCCTGCAATCCATCTGCAATCCAGTTGTGTGCTGCCATGTGGGTGCTGGGAATCGAACCCGGGTCCTCTGGAAGAGCAGTCAGTACTCTTAACCACTGAGCCATCTCTCTAGCCCCTGATCTCTGGGAGAGTTATATCACTACTCTTCTGCACTAGGCCTGCCCGAGCACCTTTGGTCCCATTACATGTCAGTTCTGTCTCCTGTCTTTCCTCACACCCATATAAGTACCTAGCTCACTGCCATGGAGTCCTGACTTGCAGGACACACACAGGGCAGCAGCTTCTTGCCCCTCAGGTAGAACTTTAGACAGGAAAGGCTGTCTAACAGGAAAAGGTAAAGAAGGTTTCAATCTAAGGGCATCTTGGTATGTAAGCTGGAACTTTCCAGAAATCTCATTTTAAAGAGGATAGTCCTTGGCTTGCTGTCTAAACCCATATTTACTTTTATAAAGTATTGATTTTACTGCCTTATAGTCACATTGACTATGAGTATATATATATGTATATATTATGTATATATATATAATATATATATAGTCAATATACAATATACGCTCACACACACACATGCATACACTCAAACCAGGAGAAGATGAGCTGTTTTGGAGATTTGAAAAACAAAACAAAACAAAAAACAAAACAGGGTCTCGTGTAGCTCAGGCTGCCATTAAACTGAATATATAGCCAGGAATGTCCTTGAACTTTGGTTCTTTCTGCCTCCAGCTCTTTTGTGCGAGGATTTCCGAGATGTGGCACCGTGCCAATAGAATCTAAAGCTTCATGTATGCTGGATAAGATATAGCCAGCTGAGCTATAACCCCAGCCCTCACTCCTCCACCCCAGAGAAAAGGAGAGTTGGCTCAGTGAATAAACCGCTTGCTGTACAAGCATGAGGATCTGAATTTGAATTCCCAAAACCCATATAAAAATCATGTGTGGTAGCGTGTGTCTTTATAATCTTAGAGTGACATAAGAGGCAGGAGAATATCCGGAAGTTCATTGGCAGCCAGCCTGGTGCATGTAGACTGTCTCAAACAAGGATGGACAAAGGTTAGCACTGACAATTCAGACTGTGACCAGAATGTGCATGCATTCACATACACTAATGTTTACATACACACACAATAAACATACATACCCAAAAAGAAATAAATAAAAAATAACAGAGACACAGCCTTCACTGGAGAATGCATGGCGCTCCAGCGGCTGGGGAGCCAGGCAGCTCTGGAGGACTGTGAGGCAAAGACTGAGGACACAGCCAGCAGACAGGCTCCTTCCCAGCCAGCAGTATTCTGTGTCATTTCACATCCCAGAGAGATTTCTGCCCAGCAGTGGAAGAGGAGAAGGGAGATGGCACCTCAAGTAGCAGTGCCTCTACAGCCTCATAAAGCAGGAGAGGTGATTCCCTCCATCCAGAGAAGAGCACTTCCTTAGTAAGGAGACACAGCTGACTCACAGCCACCCCTGGGGCTGCACTTCTTTCCCGTCCTGAGTCTTAGGACTCAGCATGATGCTTCCTTGCGTTATCTTTGAGTCACTTGTCCTCTCCATCCTTCCCTCCTCACAGGGTCCTGCTTGCCCAAGTGCTGGGCAAGTCCAACATTGGCTGGTTCTCAAGGGTGTAAACCTACTGACATTTAACCATTGCTAGCATGTTCTGTTACAGGTTGTTTTTTTTTTTTAATTTTGTAGCAAGTGTATATTTGGAAATAAACAAAACCCAGGGTTCATTTATGCATTTCTCCTCACATAGCTTCTCTCTTCCAGGGCCCACTGCATCTCTCTTTCCAGCAGAACCCACAGCCCCAGTCCTTGCAGCTGAAAGTTGGAGAAGTCTCCAGTGTGGTCAAGTCAAACCAGGAGAAGGTGAGCTTGGTGTTTGAACTATGCCATCTTTCCCTGCATGCTGAGTGAATGCCAAACTGGAGGTGAGCCGAGTGCTTTGCTTCAGAATTACTAAAAATACAGAACCATTATTCTGGGGAGAAATGATCAGCCTATCATTGGATAAATGGATTTTTTTTTTAAAGTCTGCACATAAGTGAATATCATTCAGCAATGAGATAGACAGAAGCACAAACACGTGTACATACCGTCAGTGAGCCTGGAAAACTGGGGGCTGGAGATATAGTTCAACGGGGAACATGATTGCCTAGCATGCATGAAGCCCTGCGTTTGATCCCTGGCATATAAATTAGGTACGGTAGTGCATACCTGTAATCCTAATACTCAGAAAGTAGGGGCAGGAAGATCAGAAGTTCAAGGTCATCCTCACCTACATAGTAAGTTCCAAGCCAAACTGGGTTCCACAAGACCTTGTCTCAAAAGAAAACAAACGTCATGCCACATGCATCCCCATGTTTTGTGATTCCATTTATCTGAAATGCCCATAACAGATAAACCAGCTAATAGAGCCAGGCTAGAAATGCCAGGACCTGGGTGTGGAATGACCTGGTGGGCACTGGAGTAGTTCCCAAGAGGCAGAGGGTTTTGTCGGTGGTGATTGCTGCCCAGCTACAAGTGTGTTGAAAGCATTTGAGTGTGTACTCTAAAAGGCCGAATTCTATGACCTCTCAGTAAAGCTTGTGTGCGTACGTGTGTGTGCACGTGTGTACACGCATGTGTGTGACTTTGTGCATGTGTGTGTGTTTGTGTGTGCATGCGTGTGTGCATGTGTTTATGTGTGTGTTTGTGCGTGCGTTTGTGTGCATGTATGTGTGCGTGGTGTGTGTGTGCGTGGTGTGTGTGTGTGTGTGTGTGTGTGTGTGTAGTCAGCCATGCAAGGCAGTTTTTGAGCCAGTGAGGTGTGGAATAGAATTAGTCCTATTGCTCAGAGTTTATAAGCCAGATGCACACATGAGACTGACCAGAAAGTCTAAGGAGACCTCAATACTGAGTCCAAGAAATATCAAAAATTAAAGATTAACTTTAGCCTGCTGTATTCACATTACCGTCTTGTAGTTACTACTTTATAACTAACGATTATTATCATTAATACTATCCATTTTATATCTGTGGACCCTAAATGTGCCCCATAATAAAAATTACTTTTGTGCCTAATAGTCAGCTTATCTTCCAAATTCAGAAACCTTCCCCACATGGGTAGTGGGACATCCTTGCCACTGTGGTTCCCATGGCCATCAGATGGGAAAGTCTTCTTATGAGAGGAAAAGGGACCCTATCCGTGCCATTCATTACAACTCTTCACAGTGTACTTCTGTATACATAGAAGAATATGGGTTTGGGCGAGAGAGCTGGCTCAGCACTTGAGAGCGCTTGCTGTCGGCAGAGGACCAAAGTGTGATTCCTAGCACTGAAACTGAGCAACTCACAACTTCCTGTAACCATAGCTTCAGGGGATCTGACACCCTCATATAGCCCCCCACACACAAATAAAACAAAAAAAGAAAAACTTTTTTAAAAATAAGAATCTCCTCCCTGCTGTTACCTTGGTCTCCTAAACTGTTCTAACAGTTTAGCTTATGCTTGTATATCTTATTATACACATGTGATTCTGTGTATCTATATAAAAATCTAGGAACCACGAATTAGGGAACTAGGAAATATTTGTTCTTCTGAGTCTGGGTTAATGAGATTCTGTCTATTTGTGTCCATTTCCCCATAATTGATATGGCTTCATTTTTATTAATGGCTGAAAGTAATTCCATGTGTATCTAAACCACATTTTCTTTATGCATCCCTCTGTTGTTGGACATCTAAGTTGGTTTTATGACTTAACCATAGTGAATACTGCTGTAGAAACTTTGGTATGCAAGTGTCTTTGTGACGAGCATATATTTTTTAGGCTGTGACATAGACAATGGTCCTGTCCTTGCTTCCCGCCCACAGTGGTGACCATCCTGAATTTAGGCTAGTTTCTTCCTTCCCAGTCTTCTGTGTATTCCTCACCCCTGCATGTGAAAGACCAGCATTTGCAGATCTATACTCATTTTATTTTCAAGTTAAATGTACAGGGCACGTTTAGCAGACAGCTTGGAGGGAATCTCAGGTTGGAAGAGAGTGCTATCATCCCTCAGCTCCACATATCTTTGTCACCTTCACAGCAAGAATTGTTTGTATTTATTAACTCCTACAAACTTACTATGCATACTTTAGTACCAATATTTCTCTTCATGGACCTTGATATTCACCTGATTGGTTCCAGCTTTGTTTTCGTAGCTGTCATGGGTCAGGCTCTGAACAAGCCAGGCTTGTATATCCCTCTTGCTTAACTGCCATTAGGGTTAGGATCTTGTAGAATCAGATTTATTTATTCCTCTTTCTTGGCTAGATAAATAGCTTGCTTTCTTTTCCCACAGGCATGAGTGACAGATGCTGCAGGGGCCTGGTTGTTTTTTCCAACTTCCCAGGTGCACATTCAAGTTGACAAGTTGGGGTGGACTAGGTGGGTCCAAGATATTCTGTTTAAAATTGGCCAGATGCTCCCACATTGGTTACTGTGGTGTTATGCCGTCAACCCGAGGAAGGTCTTATCCCGACAACCCTTATTAATACAGAAGTCAAGTGTCCATGCTACCCCCTTGGTGAGTTCAGAGAACTCTCTGGAAGATACTACAGTAGCAGAAGGAACTGAAGCCTGTGGCAGACGTTGGAATGTAGAAGCTGACAGTCTGTGTAGTTGGTAAGGACCAGAGGTAGATGACCCTGTAGCCACTTCACAGGGTAGAAACTGAGACCTATGGAGCAGAGGGCCCAACTTTCCTGACACTTCCTTGGGAAGTGCCTGCTCCAACTGCCAGCACTGCCTCTGTCCGCGACAGATGAGGAGTGTACTTCTGGGAAGGTGGGCAGCTTGTGTTTGCTTTTTTCTGAAACTGCCAAGTCTGAGGAGCAGTGGAGTAGTGCTGGGCGCTGTCCTGACCGCTGAGGAGGGAAGGAGTCCAGCTTCCAAGGTCTGCATATTGCCAAAAAAGCAGCTTTAGGAAGTGGGTAGGTGAAAGGCAGTCCTAGTAGTCTATGGGGTGAATGTTAATCGTGTTTGCACATCCTGCTCAGAATCATGTCGTTCACCACAGACAAAAGGGATCCAAGCTGTGTAAATACATCAGTATGGACATATAGATGGAGGAAATACTGACATATCCTTCAAGATGTGTGAGGACCTTTTGCTAAGTTGAGCTATAAAAGGACAAATACGATAGAGATATTACGTGAGGTTCTGAATGTGGTCCATAGAGTCAAGGGCACAAACAGAAAGCGAGACGGGGTGGGAGGGGGGCAGGAGGAACTGGGCACAGAGTTCGTATTTTGTGTGACAGATCCTCTAAAGAAATGGTTGACAGTGATGTGTCCAAGTGCTGTTCTGTGAGGTCAAGTGGGTTGGCCAGGCAGGTAGGCAGACCTGCTCTTCACTCCCAGAGTGGTTGCCCTCCACTGATAACTGGCCGTGGGTGTAGGAAGGGTGGAACTTTGTCTTTGAAGCCCTTAGTGACTCTTAGCTATCCTTAACCTGTGCTCACTTATGGGAGTGTGTGTGTGTTTGTGTGAGTGTGTGTGTGTGTGTGTGTGTGTGTGTGTGTGTGTGTGTATGTGTGTGTGTGTGTTATCTTCCTGAGCTTCTGGGAGGGTAAGACCCCTCATGTGCTTGGTTTCTGTATGTGTCATTTTCATTTTGGACAGATGCCGTGGCCAGCCATAACAAACCCACTTTTAGAAAAGTCTGGGGCCAGAAAATAAGCTTTTCTCATAACATGTCTCAGTTTGGACATTACATAACTCCCCCAGTAGATGTAGACCAGAGGCATGGAGATCTCTTTTTAATATTGTCCTGGGATTGAGTGTAGCTTTGCTGTATTCTTCTTGACCATTCCCTGTAGGGTGCAAGTTTCCAGTGAAGTCTTTGTCAGTTTTCCCACAGTCTCCCTGCTGTGCAGAATTCTTGAGAACTTGAGGACCCCAAGTCCATAGTGTATAGAATTGAAAACGTTTGATTCCAAGAGTGTTTAAAAGCCTTTCCCTGCCAGCTTCCTCCATGACTTCAGGGGGTTTTCGTTGTTGTTTGCTTTCATCATTTCAACATGACTTTAGCCATGTTAAATCTTAACATGGCCTAAATGTTAAATGTTAAATCTTAAATGTTATCTTGTGCTAAGAAAAGGACAGGTCCTCCCAAGCCCAGCTTGTTCCACGGTTTAATATCTTCTCCCAGCTGAATAAAGATAAGGACTGTGTACTTGTGAACTTACACAAAGGGCTTCGAGCTTGGACTTTCTCCTGCGGTCTTTGAAGACACCTGTGTGTCATGGTTGTTGTCATTGCAAACACGGGTTCTGCAACCCACAGTGAAATCTCTCATGGCTGCAGCAGAGAAAAGTACCTAGGACAGGGGTAAGATTCAGGCCATGCCCAGCCCACCGAGCTTGCAGCAGTCTGGTTCATGTCAGGCACTTTGAACACTGAACATGTGCCTTTATCTTAGTGTCACAGACTGGGTATCTTCCCATTCAGTTCCGACCCTCACAGCTAGAAGTTAATGTAACTGGCTGGGTTCCAGGCTGAGGCTCACAAGCCTGGCCCTGCTGTACCCCCCATTTCTGATTGGCAGGGCACAAATTGGGACTTCCCAGGACCCCTTTAGTTCAACAGATGGCACATAACACAGGAGCACAGTTTGTGCGGTTTCTGGTTTTTAAAGCTATAGACAAGTGAAAAATGTGTACCTGATGTGTGTGGAGTAGGCATCGTCCCCAGGACCCTTTGAACATGGCTCCTCCCACGAACCCTCTTCTTTGCCTGAACTTGGATGGAGTCTTCAGCACTCTAAATGACTGATTATTGTTTAGCTGCTCATTGATGTGAACCTCCAGTTCCCTGACTTCGCTGACCTCTTAGTCTCTCTGACGAGT